TGAGGTCCCAGCCCTGACTGATGCTGCCAGTCAAAGTGTAACTCTGAGGTAAGCCAGGATAGGAATGAAGCTGGCTCATGGAAGGGGGCCAAAAGAGTAAATCACAAAGAGAGCCTTGATCAATCTGTGCCTGAAGCCTGCCCAGTCTTTCTTATGTAAGGCAATAAATTCCCTTTATTTTACAGTCCAGTTTAAGTTGTATCTATTCTTTGTGGCTGGAAGCATCTTAGTGATCCGCAAGGTCTGCTAACCTTCCAGCCACATGTCAGGATTTGCTCAGCCCCCATTCCATCTTCACTCAGCTAGTCCTTCTCAGGGTCTGCGTTCAAGGTATATGAAGTGCCTCATTTTTAAAGTACAGACTTCTGTGTGAGGACTCCGCACTGCCCAGTGACCCTTCTGTGCTGCCTGAATGGCTTTCTCTCCTGTCCTCCACCTGGGACTTCATGTCTGACCCTCGCGCTCCCGCCCACTCCAATCCTGCCACTTCCCATCTGTGCAGAAACCACACTTTGCCTACTGCCCTTTGTTCTGCTGTGTGTTCTGCTACTTCTACTCAACGGGGTTCTTCCTAAGGACATGTAAAAGTGTACTACTAGTGTTTCCCCTGCAGGAGAAAGTCACGCTTCCCCCACTATGGCACACACTCCCCTCTTCTTCACAGCCAGACCTTGCAAGAGTGCCGCACACTCTGCTTCCACGCCTCCCACTCACTCTTCACCCATTGCATTCTGTGTTCCTTAACCTCACGAGAATGGTTCTTACAAGATTTCCAAAAACCTCCTTCTTGACGAATGGATACTTCTCAGATCCTTTCCCCATTCCTTTCTCATGAAAGTCTTCCCTTGGCCTATTTGACTGCCTGGATTCCCTCCCACCTCTCATCCTACTCTCCCGAAAACTCCTTTGCTGGTTCCTTTCCCTTGCTCATGCCTGATGTCAGTTTGCTCAAAGTGTGAGCACAGCCCGTCTACACTGGTAAACTTTAAGGACACAGTCAGCTTGACGCTGCTACTTCCCAGCAGCTCTCTGAGGCCCAGCAGAGGCCTTGCACTTCTTGTTCCAGGAAGCTCAGCCTTGAGCCTACCCCAACCCTTCCAGGGAAAGAGAAGCCAACTGATGCCCGTTAATAAATCCCCTTCAGCCCCAAGTAGCTTGAGTGGGTTTTGCTGTCTGCAACTGAAGCCCAGTGGGTACCACAGGTAAGCAGGAAAAGATGCTAGAAATGGGAATCCATGGCCCCTGACTCCCCAATCACTGGCAAATGGTTTGTTGGGCTTCTGAAGTTTTACCTTCAACTTTCCTTGGAAGACAAAGCAGGTTCTGTATCGGGCAGCTTCTTCACAGAGCTTGGATCTATTTCAAAGCAAAAAAAACAGCATTAGGAAGAAATTACCTAGGCGGTGTTTTTTTCCTTAATGTTGACTTCAAATAGATGGAGATACAACATGGATACTTAGATGTCTAGTCAAACAATCATGGCATTCCCATGTATCAGTGTAATTTACCTCATTTTCACATAGAAATCCAGCTCCTAATAACAAAAGTCTAATAAGTATAAGAGCATACAGAATTATAACATTAGATAGGAACTCTCTGCGTCTCTGATCTAATTGCGTAATTGAGGCCTCCGTCTCAGGGGCAAGCCATAGGAAGTGAGCCAGAACTTGGGCAGCTGCTCGGCTTCCTCCTTCCCTGGACAGAGGTCCTTACCCTGCCGTGCAACCCCTGCTTCTTGCAGGAGTGCCCTAAACTCTGTCCTAGGAGAGCCTGCACTGGACAGGGGGCCTGCTCCCTGGAGGGTGGGGCAGGTGCTCCACGTGGGCCTGCAAGGGCAGAGCTGCCCTGCACTGCGAACTTCCCCAGGCCTGCCTGCATATGTCTTCATGCAATTCTGGGAGCTACCCATAGCCTTAAATACGTTGTTTCTTTTTTTCTTACTATTTTTCCTCCCTTAAGTTAGCCAGGGATTCCCATTTCCTGCAGCTAAACAATAAAGACAGAAAACTTCCAGTTTCTCCTCTGGCATGTCAGGAGCCTAGAAGTTGTCACTTCACCCTAACGATAATGAAAAAGCTGGACTGCAAAAGCAGCACGCCCTGGCCGGTTGGCTCAGCAGAGCGCCGCCGGCGGACTGAAGGGTCCTGGGTCTGATTCCAGCCCAGGGCAGTCCCTGGGTGGCGGGCTCGACCCCCGCCCTGCTCAGGGTGGATGCGGGAGGCAGCCAGCTGATGTGTCTCTCTCCCTCCCACTCTCTCCGAAAAGCAATGGGAAAAATATCCTCAGGTGAAGATTAAAACAACAACAACTCTTCTGAGTCCGTCAGCACAGTGAGGTCACTGGGCAAACCTCGATCCTCAAGATCGGAGACGCAAGCAGGTGGGTACAGGGAATTACAATTTACCACATTGGGAACTCGCGAGCAAAAGCCCGTGCGGGAACCAGTGCTGGGTTCCTTTACACGGCCATCCTCTCTGGTTTTCAAATAAAAAACTATAAGGGTACTGAAATGGAAAAAACATAGTTTGGAGAGACAGAGCAAGCATCCGACCAGACCGAGGTGAGGCCAGGGCGCTGAGACAGCACACGGGGGCTTTCAAGCGGCTGTGCGCGGGCCCTGCGGGGAGGCCGCCTCCGGGCGCGTGCGGG